AGAATCAACCAGTCTCCAGGGTCCCCAAGGGAAGACTGCTCGTGACTAGATGAGAGAAACTTTCTCAAGCCAAGCGTTAAGTAAAGCCATTTCCTGGGTGTGTGACTGGAACACTGCATTTCCCAAGTGCCAGCTAACCGGGGCCTCCTGAGTAGGGTACCCACCTTCCTCCACTGGGGCACTTCACAACGTAACATGCTTGTCGAGTTTCCAAAATAAACGTGATTAAAAGCTTTCTCCTTTGCCCACACATACTATTTTACACCACAGCAGTGGTATTATAATAGACCACACTATACAACTCGTCTTCCAAAAGCCAACATGCAAAGCATCAAAGCAAACTCAGTGAAGGTGATGCATCCCCACACCGTGCTCACAATCTCAGTACCTGCTAGACACTTCATTTCTGATGAACAAGAATTCCAAGAAAGTAGAGGGAAAGGGCAAAAAAAAAGTTCACAGAACACTTGATTATTTGTTAATTTAACAACCCAACACCTTAATTCCATTCAACTATAATTAGCTAGCAAAGCTGGTAAAAAGCTGATCATTAAAATCACTTAAGTCCTGACTAACTGGAGAGGAAAGCAACAGAGAACTCTGCTGCCTCCCCAGCACGCCAGGAAAACACAGGCCACATCGACTCAACATAAGAAAGGAAGTCTTGGGAAACTGCTCCCCCTTTAACAATCTTTGCCAATTAGCAGTAAAATGAAAACTATTCCTGATAGGGCTTGCAAGGCACCCCCCAGGATCACTGAACCGATGTGGCCCCATGTTGTGCTAATCTGTGAGCTGACAAGGGTGTGCAAAGCTACTCTATTGAGGAGGTGTTAAGATACTACGTTACGTGGCTTCTCAAAACAGGTTACCTTCTGTAATCCAGAAGAAGTGAAAAAGAAGAAACATTGAGAAAGGTTATTAAGAAAACAAAACCCCACCTTTCTAGAAACTAAAAACGTGGAATTGATATTTCCCTATTTTCTTTGATAAACTATACCTTTTTGCCAGCACCAACATTGGCCTTTGCAGTCCCCCTGACTTTCTTCATCCTGTTCTTCCGTTCCTTTCGCTGTTTCCTTGAGGTCTTTTTCTTCTCATATAGGCCATGCTGAGGGAGAAAGGAATACATATACACATGTAGGTGAACTGCAAGCATCAACTCATTACCCTCTAATCTAGTAGGCAGGGAAAATGACCAGGCTGGAGCTCAAATAATGCAGCTTCAAAAGTCAAAAATTTTCAAGTGTATTTAACAGTACTTGTTTGTGCTCAAACAGGGTCATCAATTTAGAACACAGCATGAACAGAATAACCGCACAGGAAGCATCCACTCGATGCTCCCTGAAAAGTAAATTCAGAAGACTGGCTCTTACAGCCTTGAACCTACAGCAAACTAGGTCCCCACATTGTGGCTTCCCTTCAGGGTCTCTTTCACTTCAACTCCCTGTTCATTACTCACAGCTGATAGAGGAGCCCTTCCCAAGGACCACCCCCCCAAACACTGCACTGATCTACTCATCTTCACTGCACCCTCTTGTGCACTCACTGTTTCTGGTGCCTAAAAGAATGTTTCCCAGTCTCAACTAGGATCCAGCTTCAGTGTCACCTCAGCCAGGCCTCCCAGACAACCCAATTAAAGAGCGCAGCATCCATCTACCATCTCACTGTGATTTCCCACATCTATTCTTTGGGAAGATTTTATCTAATCCTAAGGGGGGGAAAAAGGATGAGAAGGGGACAGACACAAGAATTACTCCAAACTAACAATTCTTTTGCTGGTTCGTTATTTAGAACGTAAGCTAGGGAATCTGACCAGCCCATTACTGTTCAGCTGAACCTGAACAACCTGGGTAATAGGGGCACCAACTATAGCTGACCCTCCACATCTGTGCTTCCTTTGCCATCTGTGTATTCAACCAACCTCGGCCCACTGCAGTACCACAGCATTTACTACTGAAAAAAAAACCTGCACATGTGAACTCTCCGTTCAAACCTGTGTTGTTCAAGGGTCAGCTGCACTTCACTGCTTGGCACTCAGATAATCAAAAACCCTTCATGGTTCCCGACTACCTACGGACTTAAGTCCAAACTCATTTGGCAACAAGGATTTCACTTAATTTGATGCCAAGACACCATTCTAAACTCATCCCCCTACTTTCAGTTCTTGCCCTCAAGAACTTTACTTACCCTTTTAGATCAGCTCAAATGCCACCTCCTCAAATGCCAGACACCATTCTGAACCCCTGTACCCTTTCTGTGCATGTATCAAAGAACCTTTCCTCTCACTTAAAAGCTGTTTACGTCTGGATGCTGTCCCTCTGCAGCCTGCCTGCTCTTGCTCACTTCACTGCACCTACAACACAATGCTATTGAAAAAATGTCTTCAGCAGCTGTTGAACAAATGAGGACACCTACTCTTGCAAGCCTGTGTTTGGGTTCATTTTTCTTCGCGTAATCCAAGGAATCATAAATCATGCCAAAGCCAGTTGTCTTGCCACCACCAAAATGAGTTCTGAATCCGAATACAAAGATGACATCTGGCGTGGTCTTGTACATTTTGGCTAGTTTTTCCCGAATTTCTGTCTTAGGTACTGTTGCCTTCCCAGGGTGAAGGACATCAATAACCTAAAAGGAAATGACCAAGCTTAGCGTTTATTTTAATAAAATACATTTTCAAAAGTGAAAAACAACCAAACCTTGATGTGCTTTCCTTACCATTTGTTTCCGCTGAAGTAGTCGGTTGGTCATGAACTTCCTGGTCCGGATAGTTACTGTGTCATTCTGAAAACATGACACACTCATTAATAAAACCAGTCAACCTTCCCTGATTTTGCTGTGACTTTCCAAAATGTACAACTGCACTATCCAGATCAATAGCCACTAGCCATTTTGTGGATACTCAGTTGAAATTAAACATTTAAAATGCAATCCCTCAGCTGCAGGAGCCACATTTCAGATGTTCAAGAGCCACATGGGTTAGTGGCAGGAAAGCTTCAATTAAAAAAAAGCACAAATTCCCATCTCCTCCTAACCCACTCAGCACAATGCCTAACACAGGGTACCAATAACACACACAGTATGCAGAAAGTACACTGAACAGCCATATTTTGAATCTGTCAAGATTTCAAACCTGTAAAATCTTACCTCACCTTTACAGAAATTACTCTGGAGCAAGGTTTCTCAAAACCAATGTTTTGGTCCAGCTACTCCCTTATTGTGGGGAGTGTCCTGTGTATGTTAGGATGTTTAGTAGTATCCTTGATTTCTAATCACTAGACTCCGGTAGCACCCTTCCTCCCTAGTTGTGACCAAAAATGTCTCCAGATTTTGTCACCCGTCCCCTGAGGCAAAAATCACCCCCAATTCAGAACCATTCCTCTGGAGTAAAGCTGTAATTCATACAAATTTTAAAGTCACAGCACTGTGTTCATAGCATCCCGCACAAATTTGACCACAAACATTGCGCTACCTACGTGTAAACGACCCTCTTGAATAACCAACACTACACCTGACGAAAAAACTACATTCCCTTCTGAATGACCCAACAGCTTATACACAGTAACTGCTAAAAAACGTCGGCACTCAGCATGCTCACACTAATAAGAAAAATTTTACTAAAAAGAGATAGAAGAGAGGTTTCTCATGGCAGCGACTGACTGCTAAATTGCAACTACAGTTTGGAAGAAGAAAGTTCGCTTCAACAGTAATCAATTCTTAAGAGGGGTCAAAGGGAAAAAAGAGTCGCAAATGAAGCGCGATTAAAAACGGGTGCTGAACCGTCGAATGACGGAGCTAACCAGTCATGACAGAGCAAGCCTTAAGGGAGCTCCTCTACCTGGGGCCTCAGTTTCCCCCATGTGAGACAAGAGTATCTATTTGGCTGAGAATATTCTAGCATACACATGGGATCGATTTCACTTGTTGCAACTCACCCGGGAGGTGCCGACACCCTCTTCACCTCTTGGACTGACTTCACCGGCAAACCACCTCTCTCTCCTCACCCCACCCCCGACTCAATCCACTAGGCTTCACCGAGCCGACAAACGCAGCAGCCGCTGCCGTAGTCCCCATTCCCTAGACTCTGAAGCCCGGTATAATCGGGTCGACAGTGCAGCCCGGACTCCCCCACCGGCGGTTCCCGGACCCTCAGCAACCGGCTGCCGTCAGACCCGGCCAGGAATGAGCAACCAGGCTTCGGCGGGCCTAGGTGCACACGGTGGGACTAGGGGACGGAGGATGCCTCCGATATGCGGCGGATGATTCCAGGAGCCCCGGAGACTCACCATGATGGCAGCCGGTCTTCAAGCAGCCGGGGAGGAAAAGAGGGTTGATTTTTGCCGGCCAATCATATCAACGCTCACGGAAGGACCCCGGGCGACGCAAGTGGGGGCGTGGCCACACCGCTAGGCCGACCGCGCCAATGCCTGATTGAAAGTGCTTGAGACTGAGCATCTTCGCTCTTTGGACACACCCCCGGAGCGTGAACTGGCCAATCCGGAGAGGGAACAGCTTGGGCCGACTAGGTTTACGCAAGCACCTGGCCATTATCTTGAATTGTCTGTACTTAGAATTCCTGCAAACCGGATTAAGCTTTAAGTCGCCTCCACCCGCGTTGGAGACTGGTAAAGCTAGAAGGTATCCTTAGAGGTCCTCTCGAGCAGCTTCTTCATTTTACTGCTAGGAAAACTGCGGAAACCCTGACTCAAAACCCTTGTTATCTCAAGTACAGAAAACTGACCGTTTTAATTTATTGCTATTATTTTTCTGGAATTCTCTAGTGATTTTCTAATTAAAATTTTTAAACTCTGTAATTTGTTTTTTCTGAAAATCGTAATCCCTACAAAAAGTGAGCTTTTAATAAGTATCCCCTTGATCCAGAAATCTGCAAGTTGTTTAACGTGGGAGACAGGTATCGGTTCAGTTTCAGGGAGGAACCGCTAGATGGCAGGGTAGGGAGAAGGCGGAAAGCGACGTTCCGGAAGCCTCTCTTAACAGACGTGCCAGCGAGTAGCGGAAGTGGGGGAGGGCACGTGGGGCTCTCTACGGTGGCCGAAAGGATGCCGCCGATGTGTTAGCAACGAGTCAAGGAGCACCCTCGAGTGGTGTGCGAAGGGTCGCGTTTCTGGTCAACCTCCACGAGTCTCTAGGAGGGAGCCCCAGCAGCCGTCACCATGGTGAAGGAGCAGTTCCGGGAGACGGATGTGGCCAAGAAAATGTAAGATGGAGTAAGAATCCCAAAGGGCGGAGAAACTAGGGATAGAAAGGTGCGAGGTCAGGGTCTTGGGTCTCGAAGGGTCAGAGGTGAGGGTCAGTGGGAAGGGGAAGGCCAGGAATCAATGGAAGTTGTGGGCACAATTCAGGATATTAGGTTACGTCGGTGAACATTGATCGGGTAAAGGGCATTTCTGCATCTGGGGAACAGCAGGCCCGAGGTGGTCCCTTGGGCTTGGGCGGAGAAGGTGGGATATGGTGGGAACCTTGGCGATGGGCCTCGCCCTATGGGCCGCGTTCTCCTGATGTCAAACGATGACCCCTTCCAGCGAATTTTGCGTCATTGCAGCGTGGGGAGCAGTCTGGGGCGGGGTCTGGTTTTGTTGCAGAACCCATGACACGGAGGTATTATTTGCTGACCAAAAGGATGGAGTTGCCAGTCAGAAAGCTGTACTACAGTCAGATGGAAAGCTGTCTGAGAAATGTGGCTGCTAGTCTGGGCCTTCTTCAGAGGTTATTTATTAGGCCACGGTCTCTCCTGAGAGTTTCCGTTAAAGAAATAAATCAATAGTTGCTGCTGCAGACACCTACTGAGGAAAGTACTGTGTGTTGGGCTCAATGATAAGAATTAGAGATATGACATGAGTAAGACCTTACTGCCTAGTCTAGTTGGAGAAGGTAGAGAAGTTAGCATTGGGTAGGACAAGTGCAAGGACAAGGGCAGGCATAGGGAGTTCTGAGAGCACCAAATGGGAAAGGGGTTCAGGTAGAAGAAAGCAGACCAGTCTTCTTCTGGGAGCATACCAGAGGGAGAAAGGGTAACAATCAGTAGGAAGCAGGAGATTTGAAGTTGTGTTCCGGAGTCATCTTGCAGGCAGTGAGGACTCTGAAGGGTTTTAATTAAGCAGGGGGGTGTCTTGATGATAGTTTTTCTTCTTGAAGATCTCTTCTGATTCTCAGGGGATGGAATAAAGAGGAAGACCTTGGAGGCCAGGGTAGGGATCCAGGCAGAGGGATAATGGCCTGCACTGGGGTGGTAGAGTCAATGGAAAAGTTGATTTCAGAAGGGATTAGAGAGTGCTTTAATATTCGCATTATAGGAGTCCCAGAAAGAGGACAGAGAGAGAAAGGACCTGAGAAAATTTTTGGAGAGAGAATCGCTGAAAACTTCCCCAACTTGGAAAAGAAAATAGTCACCCAAGTCCTGGAAGTGCAGAGGGTACCACACAGAATCAATCCAAAGAGGAACACACCAAGGCACATAGTCATCAAATTGACAACAATCAAGGATAAGGATAAAATATTAAAATTAGCAAGAAAAAAAGCAATGAATAACATACAGGGGATCTCCCATAAGGTTATCAGCTGATTTTTCAGCACGAACTCTACAGGCGAGAAGGGAGTGGCATGATATATTTAAAGTGTTGCAAGGGGGAAACTTACAACCAAGAATACTCTATCCAACAAGGCTCTCATTCAGACTTGATGGAGAAATCAAAAGCTTCACAAATAAACAAAAGCTAAAAGATTTCAGCATCATCAAACCAGCTTTACAACAAATGTTAAAGGACCTTCTCTAGTCATCAGACCACAAGAAAAGAGAACAAAAAGAAGAAAGAGGAAAAAGAGAGACCCACAGAAGATTGCTTTGGCTGTTCAGGGTCTTTTGTGGTTCCTTATAAATTTTAGAATTGTTTGTTCTAGTTCTGTAAGGAATGTCATGAGTATTTTGATGGGGGGTTGCATTGGATCAGTGGATTCCTTTTGTAGTGTGACCATTCTGATAGTTTTGATTCTTCCAACCCAAGAGCACAAGAAATCTTTCCACTTCTTTGTGTCATTTCAGTTTTCAGAGTAGAGGTAGCCTCCTTGGTTAAGTTTATTTCTAGGTATTTTACTGTTTTTGATGTAATGGAAATGTCTCTGCCAGGTATAAAATTCTGGTTTTTGAAGTGAAATTAAAAAAAAAAAGTGAATGAAGGGCCACAAATGGCAAAATACCCTTTTTTATGGGTGACTTCTGTTCCATTACATATATATATACACTGCATCTCCATTATCTATTCAACTATTGATGTACACTTAGCATGCTTCCATATCTTGGCAATTATAAATAATGTTGCTATTAATAGCAGGGTATATGTCTCTTTTTGAGTTAATTCTTATTTTATTGTTGGCTTTATTCCTTTGATAACTATGTAAGTTTAAAAAGCTAAAGCTCTAAACGTTCTTAGAAACAATGAACAGTGCATATATGTAAATTAAAAAATATATGTGCAATAAAAAAAAAGAGATCTATCAAGCCATGAAAGACATGGAAGGAACTTAAAAGACGTATTACTAAATGAAAGAAGTCAGTCTGAAAAGGCTACAAACTGTACGATTCCAACCAAATGACATTCTGGAAAAGGCACAGTTACAGAAACAATAAAAAGATTGTGGTTTCCAGGGGTTTGGGGAGAGGAAGGGAGGGAGGGATGAGTAGATGAAGCACAAGGGATTTTTAGGGCAATGAAATTATTTTGTATGATGCTACAGTGGTGGCTACATGTCATTATGCATTTGTCAAAGCCCCTAGAATGTACAACATGAAGAGTGAACCCTAATGTGAACTATAGACTTCGGTTGATAATAATGTGCCCATGTGGTTCATCGACTGTACCAAATATGCCACCCTGATGAGGGATGTTGAGGGTGGAGGGCTATGTGGGAACTCTGTATTTTCTGCTCAATTCTGCTGTAAACCTGAAACTGCTCTTAAAAAAAAAGTCTATTAAAAAAAAGAAGGGATTAGGGTATGAAATTGACAGCACTGGGAGGCATAGGTAAGGGAGAAGCGAGACTGACACACAGCATTTCTTGTTAGGGCAGCTGTGTGGACAGTTGCCATTCACTGGAATGGGGGAACTGAGGGTCTTACCTGGATGAATCCTCCCAAGTGGTCTCTCCATATCCACCCCAGCTGCCCTGCCCTGACCATTTTCAGATGCAATCTGTCCTCACCAAGCAGCCCAAGTGACTGTTAAAATGCAGATTAGATCCCTGACACTGCAACTTGAAATCTTCCAGCAGCTTTCCCTTGTACTAACATTTAAATTCCCTACCAAAGTGAGGAACTGGCCCCTGCATACCTCACTGACTTCGTCTCATGCCATCAGCTTTCTGTGCTCTGGTGTACCAGTTTCCTTTGGTTCTTTGAGAATGCCAAGCTAGTACTGGCCCTGGAACCCTGGCCCTAGTTACTATCTACTTCCAATGCCTGGCTTTGTGATCATCTTGAGGCCGGCTCCCTTTTATTCAGGATTCAGCTGAAATGTCAGCTTAACAGAGAGACTTTCTGACCACACAACATAAAGTAGTGTCCTCAGGCTCTCTCCTGTACTGCTTCACATCATTTTCATTCTCTGTGTCTACTCACTTTGGGGTATCTGTTTATTCTCTGCCTTGTCGTCCCTGAAATTGAGCTCCATGTTTGCTGGGTCCTTGTCTGTCTTTTTCAGTCTGTA